CGCACGTATGAGGGAGTACAAAGAGGCCTTGATTCATGTTACGTCATGCGTGTCAGTCATTCTTGTCGCCTGTTGCCGCTTCATAAAATCTCGTGCCAACAGGAGCCTCTGTATTGATTCTTTATGGGGATCACGTAGCTCGAACAATTAAATAACGTCGCATTAGACTAAATATTCAGAAAAAAACTGTGAATGTAAAAGGTCTGCGTTTCGTGGGAAGAAATAGTCGGTGCCTTGGTCAGCCTTTGCACTACTTTCTCAAGATTTTACAGCATTCTCAAGCGCTACAAATGTTCAGATGTACATCGCCTTTTATCTCCATCTCTTTTGATTTGCTGGCGACCAGTCAGATGGGATTGGGTCCAGCTTTGTCTAATGAGCACATGAAAATGGATGGATGAATAAATCTTTCTCTCGACAAGAGGACAGTTAAGAAGACTCTGGCGAATGCGGTGCATTTAATCTCTGCCAAAGTGTTTGTGTTGGAGGTGATAACAGAGCAGTTCAGTTAGCAACAGTCAACAACATTCGTGTAAAATGTTGAAAAGAAAAACGAGCTGACTGCCTGTTCTCAAGATGAGGGAGAGGTAATAGAGGTGAAGCTCCGTGGGAAAACTCCTGGTGCCTTCTCTCCCGATTGCACCATGAGCCTCTCAAGAACTAGATCTTGCACAGACTGTCGTGCAGGCATAAATGCACACGCACAAACAGACCCATACATACCCGCACGCATTCTCAATGTCCCGCAGCGACAACCACTTCTCATGTCACAAGAGCACCTTTGATGCGACGCTGTGTTTTCCTAACAAAGATCAAGTAACCTTTCCTCGGCGGAGTTGTAATAACTGCATCACTAGGTAGATGTGTCACAACTGAATTGAAGTCTGACAATTGCAAAGCCAACAGCAGTTATTTGGTTTTTCATTCAAGACAACATGAACCTTCGTTTTTGCTCAAGAACGAAAGTCAGACGTTGACACAACTCACAGTACAAACAGGAAAGAAGAGTAAGTGTATCAGTACAAGTAAGAATGTGGACTTTCAATGCTCTCTGGGTCCACCAGTCCAGTTTTAATAAATGGTAACCATTGTGAAAGCCTTCTAACATTAAAGGTCCCTCATTCATAAAAGTGACGACAGCGTCTTCATTCAGTCTTTGAATTTTACTTCCCAGCGCAAGTCGAGCACAAAGCACATGGGTGGACTTTTATTTCTTTTGCTATTTTGTTAGACTTTGCACAGGTAGAACTGGGCCTAATGTCGTGATTGCACCGTTGTGGGATGGAATGTAGTATTTCATGGCCAAAAATAACGACATTCCTCATTTGAATTAAAATCAGGGACGTCAGAGCATACGCATTTTTTTTTTTTTTGTTACATTTCGGAAGCAGAACTAGACTCGCTGGAGCCCCTGCCTGACAATAGAACATACACTGCTAAATCTCCCCTTGCAAATGATGTAATCTTAACGCAAGTCTAGCGCAAACCTAGGTGAGTCCCGGCCAATCGTAGAGGTAACCCTCATTTGCATTAAAATCAGGATCGTCGGAGCGTACGCCGTGTTTGACATTGCATGAACACAAATATAATCACTGGTGTCTGTGAATGACATTGACAGGTAAACTGCAAGATCTCCCCGTGGACAATTGGAGACCGCCTTAATTGCACCCACGAACGTGCCTCCGTGCGTGAGCGCCGCCAACAGTTGTGCCACACAGTTAGGGCCATGCGATTAAGATGATGCCCAGTCTACTTTCTGTTACCATATTATCAGTTGTGTTGGGGTGAGGCGGCTTCTACGCCGCACTGCCCAGTGAAGAACATCGCGGTCCCAAACACGCAAAACTTTTACGCCAAACGCATGGCCGCTTGCTTCCCAAAATAGGGCCATGTCTCTTGGAATATTTTTGCTCATTTAAAAATCTCGTTTGCAATAACCACTACATATGCATCATTTTTTTCCCCATCTTTAGACAATTGGATTTTCATTCTTTCATTCTAGCGCTAACCTCCACCTCTTCTTGTTGTCTTGTACCTGCTTTCCCCATACACTATTGCCCTCAATTTTATTCGTAATGATATACAGTACATTCCACAGAGATTCCACCCCGACTTCACCTGCCAATCTGTCTATGTTAGACAATAAGAGAGTCACTCAGTCGCTCTTCACATGTGTCCCACTGCAATTGTCGAACGGGCCTGGGGACTTTCCCAGACAATAGCACAGTTCCGTTGAGTCATACATTTCATTTCGAAGTCTCTTGCAGTTAACACAAGCACTATGATTTGTATTCTTAATTATACACAAAAGTCTGTCACCTGCATACACTAATGGCAACACAGTGATACAATGGTCGGCCGGGTGGTCTCACAGAAAGTAGAGTATGGGTCAACACGAAGTCTCTGGTTGCTGTTGTTGATTTTACATGGACCCGAAGATTTAATAGTGTGTTGAAAAGGAAACTCATGATGGACAACTTCGGACTCAAGTGATTGCAATTGGAGAGCAAAAGGTCACATAAAGAGTGCAGCCTCAGTCTGGCCTCACATCCATCCTGGATATGACTGCAGTGGCATCAATAGCTGAATCAGGCATTCAGCCTGCTGCTGACAGGACAATCCTGCCCCGCAGCCCCACGGATGTGACTGCAAAGGGTGGCAAGTGGACAGAATGTTTATGTGTGAGGGTGAAGAGGTGAGTTACTGCTTTGTTGGGTGTGTAAGTGATATCCTCTCATCATAAAAGACCGGACTCTAAATCTGACCAGAATACCACTTCTTTCAGACAGTCGCTGTTGTGCATCATAAAGTTGCAGGCATTCGGTACTTTATTTATTTATTCATTTACGTATGCATGTATGTATTTATTTAAGCAATTCTATGCAAGTGGGTGCAAGGCGGTCTCCATTTGCCCATGTCACATGCGGATGACTACGTTAATCGCAAGGGGAGATCTTGCAGTTTACCTGCCAATATCATACACAGACCCCCACGAGTTTAGTTCTGTTTGTTAAATGTAAAGCTCCGACTGCCCTGATTTTAATATAAAAGGAGAGATGCTGCTACAACAGGCAAGGATTCAAGTTAGGCGCAAACGCCCTGTTGCGCCCAGTTGTACCTGTTAAGTTAAACAATGGCTCTAAATTATTACTCAATTATTAAAATAATGGTCAATGAATTTGCTAATTAATTGTTGATTAATCGATTAACTTTGACACCTCTATGAGTCCATCAAGAGAATAAGCGCTATTAAAAATGATGGCTGGATGTAATGTGTTGAGAAAATAAATAATGACAACTCTATAAACAAGATTCGAGAAATTGGCACAGCAGCGCTTACAGTATTTTTAAATTTACCAAAAGGTCATCATCTTTACAGTTTACAAAATCAGGAAAAGTGTTCACTCTGTTCTATAAGATCAGAAAGCCATCCGCTGTGATCTATTTGTCCTGTAATGACAGCGTCTCTTCAATGTTCTTAACCTGTCAGCGGCTCCCTCACACCGCGTCCTCAATCTCTGCAATTCGAAAGAACAAAAAGACCAGAGCGTCTCTCACAATTTATGTCATTCTAAGGCCTCTATAAAAGGTGTCGGCCTCAAGCTTCCCTTTAAACCCTGCAATTTATCAACCACACACATGGTGTGATAAATCAGAAGAAGGAAGTGTAACCCATGTAGTGTCTCCAGCTTTGTGGAGCATTTTTTTTTTTTGTGGTGCCAGCCAACGATTTCATGAAGGAGGGGAAAAAATGGTTGACACTTAACAAGACTGGTGGGTTACAGCAAGTATTATTTTGGACACTATCATCCCGCTACACTTCTAATAGTGAAGATTGTACGGTGGGGAATCGGCTGACAATGACTAATTTGGATAACCATGATTAAAGTGACAAGCTTTGCTGCCACCCGTGACTCTGCCACAATCAGTTAACTTGGCTTTTATGGGCACAGCTGTGCCTGGTTTACAATTCATTATCACAAATTTGCCAAGTCATAATGCCGTCGCGGAGCTATGTGTGTGTGTGTGTGTGTGTGTGTGTGTGTGTGTGTGTGTATAAAACATTTGACCGTTTCATCGATGGTATTTTGTCCTTCGGTCCATTCGTCCTGAAGTGTACCATACTCATCATCTATTTTTCAATTTGCCATCTTATATATCGAAGGATTAGCGTTGAGCTAATGACTGAGCGGGCTGATTTACCTGTTTCCACAGCAACGGCCTACGTAGGCCAGTATCATCCAATTAAAATTGCTCGAGCCGCCAACTGCAGCCCTGAATAGGACATGAGCAGTGAAAAATCAATGGATGGATGAAACAAGCGAGAATATTTTGTTTTATCTGCGAGCCAGATGCAATCTTCAAAAGAGCCACACCTGGCTCGGGAGCCATAGGTTCTCGACCACTGGGCCATGCCACAAATGTCAATAAATTCTATCTTAATAATAATAATAATCATACATTTTATTTGTGGGCGGCTTTCTAATCACTCAAAGTTGCTCCAACTTAAATGACTGTTTTAGCATCTACAAAATACAAGTTGTGTTTTTTAGTGTGTGCCAACAAAATCACATAGGAGGTTGAGGAACAATGAAACACAATAATAAGGCAATCAGATTCAGGATGTGCACAGAAATTGCTCTTGATTAACAAACAGAAGATTTCAAACGGGATGATGACAAAAAACAACACTGCACTTTTGTACAGTTTCCTGCACACACCCAGTACAAGGCTGCCACTGATTAAAGTCCCCACCTATCATATTGCAAGTTGAAGATGGCAAAGTCACCGATGGTGTAGTGGTACACTCACCTGACTTGTGTGGGCAGCGTGAGATCTGTTCCCATTCAGTGACGATGTGGATGTGAATAGTTGTACCGTATTTTCTGCACTATAAGGCGCTTCGGATTATAAGGCACACCTTCAATGAATGGCTTATTTTAAAACTGTTTTCATATATACGGCACACTGCATTATAAGGCGCATAGAAGCTACAATAGTGGCTGTGGTTGCACGATGCATCCACTAGATGGTGGTACACTACAGGAATACAATACCATACAATACAGCTTTATTTATACTGAGCCTTCACAACCGCTGCAGCCAGCATAGGAACACTAACAGGGAAACAATTCAATTGGGAATGTAAACAGACTTGAACACCATGTATAAGACGCATCGGATTATAGGGCGCACTGTCGGCTTTTGGGAAAATTGAATGCTTTTAGGTGCGCCTTATTGTGCGGAAAATACAGTATGTCTATCTCTGTGCCCTGCAACTCACTGCCGACCAGTTTATGGGTTAGTCCACCTTCCGCCCAAAGTCAGCTGGGCTCCAGTAACCCTGCGTGAGCTGCTTAGGATAAGTGGTGTTGAAAATGGATGGAGGGATGAAGATGACAATGCAGCACTCATAAGGACTTCATTTTGCCTGACACTGTTCCAAGAGCAGTAGCATGGTAGTCGGCCGGTTAGCACATCTGTCTCACAGTGCGGAAATCCAGGGTTCAATGCCAGGCCTTACTGTGGAATTTGCATGTCCTCCCCTTAGCTGAGTGGGTTTTATCCGGGTACGAACATTTCGCTCTACTGAAGCTAACCGTATGAGCAAACGCGGGGGTTGTCCTGCGTTCACTTCATCTACTCGTCTCCTCACCAATCCGCTCATAACTAATTGGGGGAAGGAGCCTTGATGCTGACTCATGTCTCTGCACATTCGATGCATATCACTGCAACTTATAATTGACGTGTCGATGGTCATGTGTCGTGCAATTCACATGAGTTCTGGCAGCCCGAGCTGCCTTTGTCACCAATGAACGAGATGCAAATGATCACACTTTGGCTGGCTCAGTCATACACAGTCAGAGCCCCCTAGCCCCTGTATATTTTTTTACAAAAGGTGAATGTAGAAATTTGTGTCAGCGTGTGGGTAAAGGATGATGAGAATGGCATGAGTTTATTAAAAAAAAACAAACAAAAAAAAAACAACAACAACAACAGAGCGACCCACGGCTATGTGTATGCACTTCTGTGTGGTCATCGAAACACTCCCGCAAGCCCTGTTGATTGGCTTAGCCATAGAACACGTCAAAAGGTCAAATCAATTCGGGCTGATACACAAGATACACGTGGCAGAAATCCTTAACTATTACAAACTAGGACTAATTTTATGAACGTCACAAATCTTTAATCAATCATTTGCTCCATTTCAATATTTCACTTTTTTTGTTGCATACCTACATCATGTAACATGTTCTAATGTCAAATTTTGGACAGGTGTGATACTGATTTGGCCGCCGTGTGCAAGTGTGATGTTGCTGACCGTGGTCCAAGGAATTCAAGGAATAGATTTTGTGTGAATGCTGAGCCGCATAGAAAATTAGAGGGAACATTGGTCACAAATAAATCCACCAGGCAGTTTGACAGCATGAAAGATTGATTCATACATGCAATGAATGTAGAATTCAGTAGGTGGACAGCTTCAACAATGAGCCATTTATGTGCAGTTGATCTGGCTCGTCTTGAATCATTCTGGGAAGGATAGGAGTCAGATGTGATTGTCACCACAAAGACAAAGAAGTGGAACCTTATAGGAAAATGTGTTTGATGCTCTATCCCTCAAAAGACATGCAGAAATTCGGTCTGCAAACCACTGCCATGCAAGATGTCAACATATGAAGTGTAGAGTATCACACGATGTATTCTATGTATCTGTTTCGCTTTTTTACTGGCTTATTAATAATATATTCTAGAACATTCTGCAGTGTCTAGAATAGTTGTTCTCAGAGATAGTTGTGCTGGGATTCTCCCGCCTTCCACGATGTTATACCTTCATCACTTGTAGTGCATCGCTTTTGTGTGGAGTCAGCATGCGCAATCTTTAATTACTGGCTGCAGAAAAACATTTTCGGCGACACTCCACAGTGTTGTCTGAACAACAACTCAATATAAAATCGAATGTTACATTGAACCCCTTTCTAGTAATGCAGCACAAAACAGGAGCCAATTCTAAAACACGGTCTGAGAGTTTAACTGAAGGACAGCGTGGGGGATGATATTGCCTTTCTCTTGAGAGTTTTCTCTGAGTGCTCAGGCTTCTTCCCACATGACAAAAACATGCATGTTAGCTTCAATTTTTCACCAAAGGTTTTTTTTTTTTTTTAATGAGGAAATTTATATTAGCTTGCATTTTCAACTTTATCAATTTGTTTTGGAGAAATCAGTAAATAATTAACCACTTCCAGAATGGCCATCAAAAACGAATAATAGAGCCACACCCCCACTTCCCTCACTCCATGTCTTGCTGGGAGCCACTGTTGGCACCGGAGACTATTTGTCCATTCAAAATCATTGTAAATGCGAAAAATAACGAGAACCAGTCGGCCCCGAAATGTATGCGGACATCTCTACTTCGGCTCCCTTGAACCTCTGAAAATATATCACAACGATTGGCCTTCTCCTGGCTCAGTTAAAGGAGAATGAGGAAATCAGTAGTTTACGTGCACTTACGGTCATATCTGTTTAATATCTTTGGTAGATAACCAAGATATGCAAGCAAACGCAATGCATTCTGAGAGGCTTTTCATAAACTTCAGTGTTCGTAAATCAAAATATAGATTAGATTATAATCTATAAACATTGGCTTGATTTCCATTTTTTTCCCCTATCCACTCCAAACGGTGCACCAGCACCACTAATCTGAAAATGATGCGTCGAACGCGGCCAGATTTGGCTGCAGTTGGCCTCCTTTTTTCAAAGTCTGTCCATTCATCCTTCCATTTTCTGCACCATATATCCTCATGAGGGTTGCGTGCAAACGTTCTGGATTTTTCAAAGCTAAATTTTGAACTTTCGCCCAGCCGACCTCTGGGGCTGGTTGCGCAGCTGCAAATCCACACTCAAACGTCCTACTTGCACCGCGATGTCGGGCTACACCACTGACAAGATAGACTTAAAGGTCGCCCTGCTACAGCTACATGAATGGCGGGCTCCTGTGGACCTGTGGCTGTCCGTGAAAGAGAGGTCCGATAAGAGGGCAATGGCGAAGCTATTCAGCTGCCTGACCGGTGGCAGGCGTGATGCTCCTCGACTGCATGAGTGGCAGCAGGCATCCACATCACAGAGCCCCATCCATGTCTGGATGGTAAGAAACCGATTTCGCTCAGCTAAACTCTTCTGTTTAGCGGACAAATGCTTAATTGCTGCCTTGACAGCTACAGTGTGGTTAACCACAGGTCGTAGCAGGAGATAACATCCACAAACTATAGCAGGGGTCTTCCCTTACGTCCTCCTTCGGAGGATGACAGTGCAAGCAAATAAATGTTTATTCATCCCATCGTATTATTACTTGTACACAACAAATTGATAGATTACTAGTTTTGAAATCAGTCATGTCAACTAAAATAGTTCGGTCAATTATTGCTCTCATAACTGTAAACAGGGTAACAAAATTACTGCAAAATCTCAACTTTGACGATTGCACATGACAATTAGACATTTCAGTACAGATTTTCATGCAAGTTGACACAGATCATTTGCTTTTGCAGGCCACATAAAATGACGTGTTGGGCAAGATCTAGCCCCCAGGCCTTGAGTTTGACACCCGTGAGCGATAGCGTCGCTAAATATCTGAGAACTACGACCAATCGGCACCAAAATTCCTTTTGCACATTCCTACTCTTGTCCACTTCAACCTGTAAAAAATTTAAAAATGATTGGCACAAATCAGACCACTCAAGTGTCCCTTTAATTGAAGACTAAAGTACCCATACATAAATGAATTTATCTATATGTGCCCTGTAATTGACTGGTGACCTTGCCAGAGGGCACCCAACCTCTCACCCCAAAGTCAGTTGGCATAAAATCTGGCTCACCCGTGATCCTAATGAGGGCAAGTGCGAGAAAAAAAAAGGGGATGCCTGATGTTCAACTCAATCTTAAAGGTTTTCTTATCTTATCTTAAGGTACGGCAAGGTAGCTTTATTTATATTGCATATGTAATACATAAGGTAACTCACTGTGCTTCGCATAAGTTCGAAGGAAGAGCATTTAATAGCATTTACAAATAAAAATTTTTAAGACATTTAAACGCAAAAGAAAAAAAAATAAGTTCTATAGAAATAAAAAGGAGCTTACTGAAATAACTAATATACAGTTCAAGAACAAGATTTTGGAAAAAAAATGATCATTAAAATGCTTGAAAAGATTGTTTTCATAGTTTTCGGGGGGGCGGGGGGAGCATAGTTTTAACCTGGATTCAAAAGAATTTACACTTGGGGCTGACTTCACTTCTGTTGTAAGATTATTCAATTTGTGTGCAGCATAACTGCTAAATGCTGCTTCGTCATGTTGACTTTCAACTCTGGACTCCAGTAATTGAGCCGAGTCTGCAGACCTCAGAGCCCGACTGGGTTTATATTCAATTACCCTATTTTCCTCACTATAAGGCATTTTGGAGTATAAGGCAAACCTTCAATGAATGGCCAGTTTTAATTGGATTGCTTTATTGTCATTACACATTCGTGCAACGAAATTATCTTAACAGGCACGCTCTGCACAAGAAACATGAAAAAAAAAACAATGACAAACATGGGATACAGTGCAAAGGGCCTGTCGGTACTCGCTATGTAAAGCGCCCCGAGATCTTAGTACAGGAAAGGAAACCACTAGGGAGGGAGAGGTTTAAAAAAAACCATGCTCAAACTATCCTCTTTCTGAGGATAATTTGGGTCTAGGAGAAAAAAAAAAACCTAAGCACAGAAACAAGCATATGACAGTTACAACAAGTCACAAGACATAACATGTAATGAGGGGATGGGTGGAAACGGGGGTGGGGGGGCGCCACGCGGCCTGTCCGACCAGCTGCTCAGCCAATCGGCGAGCGCTCCGCAGATCAGGTTCACGTCACGGGGGAAAAACAGGAGGAACGATGAAGACGGTGATGATAAGGATGTGTATGCGTGTGTGATTGTCTGGTTGTGTATGCGTGAACAGGCCGCAGCTGCTTCGTCAAGGTCTGCTCATGAAGACAGTCCTGGCTTATCAGTCCATGGCCGAGAAGGAGGGGGTGATTAAAGTGGTTTTCATACATAGGGCGCA